CACCACCTCCCATCCACACCTCCTCTCCACCAGCCTTGTCCCCAACCTTGGAAACTACTAATCTAAAAGGTTGTCATTTCAAGAATGTTATGTATATGGAATTGAATAGTATGTAATCCTTTAAGGATAGCTTTTTTCCACTCATTTTATTCTTTGGTGATTCATTCAAGTTGTTCCTTATATCAATAGTTTGTTGCTTTTTATTGCTGAGTAGTACTCCATGGTGAAGGGAGCCCTATTGATGTAATGGTTAAGTACTCAGCTGCTACATTAAAGGTCAGGGGTTCAAATCCAACAGCCACTCTGTGGAGGAAAAGATCCAGTGGTCTGCTCCCATAAAGATTACAGCCTAAGAAACCCTATGGGGCAATTCTACTCTGTCCAATAGGTTCACTGTAAGTTGGAATGGAATCAATGACACACAACATTCTATGATACGGATGTACTACAGTTTGTGTAACTCATTGAAGGATGTCTGTGCTGTTTTCAGTTTTGAACTATTTTAAATAGAGCTTCTATGAACAATTGTGTACAGGTTTCTATGTGAACATAAGTTTTCATTTCTCTGGGATAAAAGCCCAAAATACAAATAGTGTGTTTTATGGTGATTGCATGTTTAGTTTTATAAGAAACTGACAAACTGCTTTCTAGAATGGTTTTACCATTTTAAATTCTCAATAGTAATGGATGAGAGATCCAGTTTCTTTGCATTTGAAATTCTCATTTTTTTATATTAGCTATTCTGATAGGTGTACAGTGATATATTGTGGTTTTACTTTGAATTTTCCTAACAGCTAATGATGTTGAGCATCTTTTCCTGGCTTATTTGTCATTTGTATATTCTCTTTCATAAATACCTCTTCATATCTTTTGTCAATTTTCTAATTGATTTTTTTTACCTGTTGAGTTTTAAGAGTTCTTTATATATTATAGGCAGTAGTCCTTTGTTAAATATACGGCTTTCAACTACTTTCTTACATAGGCTTTCTCAGAGCAAAGATTTTTAGTTTTGATAATGTCTGGTTCATTAACTCTTCATTTTATGGATTGTGATTTCCATAACCCTAGATCCTAAAAATTTTCCCTAAAAGTCCTCTAGTTTTACATTAATTAGTGGTCAGTTAGGAGCTCTGGTAGTTAGTGCCTAAGGGACTTGACTGCTAATCAGAAGGCTGGCAGTTCAAACCCACCAGCTACTCCTCAGAAGGAAGGTTGTGCAATCTACTTCCATAGTGATATCACTTAGGAAACCCAAGGAGGGGTCGCTATGAGTTGGGTCCGACTCAACAGCACATAACAACAACAGTGATCAGTTATGAGTTAGTTTTTGTATAAGGTGCAAGGTTTAGGTCAGAGTTAATTTCTTTGCCAATGGATGTCCAGTTGTTCCTGTACTATTTGTTGAAAAAGCTATCTTTTCTCCATTGAATTGCTCTTGCACCTTTGTCAAAAATCAGTTGAGCATATTTATGTGGGTCTATTTCTGGGTTCTGTATTCAGTTCTACTGATCTATGTTTCTATCCCTCTACCAATACAACATAAAGAAAACAAAAGTCCTCATAACTGGACCAATAATCAGCATCATGATAAATGGAGAAAAGACTGAAGTTGTCAAAGAGTTCATATTACTTGGATCCACAGTCAACACCAATGGAAGCAGCAGTCAAGAAATCAGACATCATATGCACTGGGCAAGTCTGCTACCAAAGAACTTTTAGAGTTCTGAAGAGCAAAGATGTCTCTTTGAAGACTTAAGATGTGCCTAACCCAAGCCATGGTATTTTCAATTGCCTCATATACATGTGAAAGCCAGACATAGAATAAGGAAAGCAGAAGAAGACTTAATGCTTTTGAGTTGTGGTGTTGGCGAAGAATATAGAAAGTACCATGGACTGCCAGAAGAACAAAAAATCTGTCCTGGAAGAAGTGTAGCAGGAATGCTCCTTGGAAGCGAGAAGGGCCAGACTTTGTCTTACCTACTTTAATCATGTTGTCAGAAGGGACCATTCCATGGAGAAGGATATCATTCTTGGTAAAGTGGAAGGTAGGCAAAAAAGGGCAAGACATTCAAGGACATGGATTGATACAGTGGCTGCAACAATGGACTGAAGGTATAGCAAGTATTGTGAGGCTGGAGCAGGACTGGGCAGTGTTTTGTTCTGTTATACATAGGGTCAATGAATCAGAGCTGACTCAATGGCTCCTAACAACAACAAAAAACAATACCTCACTATCTTAGTACTATAACTATATGTTGTTGTTGTTATGTGCCGTCGAGTCAGCCCTGACTCATAGCGACCCCTCCTTGGGTTTCCGAGGCAGTATCACTACGGAAGTAGGATTGCCCAACCTTCCTTCCGAGGAGTGGCTGGCGGGTTTGAACCGCCAGCCTTCTGGTGAGCAGGCAAGTGTCTTAGCCACTATGCTACCAGAGCTCCCGATATAGTAAGCCTTAATATCGTGTAGAGTGGTTCCTTGCACTGTGTTCTTTTCAGAATTATTCCAGCTATTCTAGAGGCTGTGTATTTCCATATACATTTTAGAATTAGCTTGTCTATGTCTATGAAGGGAGCTCTGGTGGCATAGTGCCTAAGGCATTTGACAGCTAACTAGAATACTGATGGTTCAAACCTACCAGGCACTCCTAGGAAGTAACATTGAGCAATCTACTTCCATAGTGATACTGTCTCAGAAACTCAAGGAGGGGTTGCTATGAGTCAGATCCAACTCCATGGCGGTGGTTGCGTTTTTTTTTTGTGTGCGTGTTTTATGTCTATGAAAATATCTTGCTGAGATTTTGATAGAATAGCACTAAATTTATAAATCAATCTGGGGAGTATTGTCTTATAACAATATTAAGTCTTCTAATCCATGAACACTTTCTGTCTTTCCATTTATATAGGTCTTTGATTTCTTTCATCAGTATTTTATAATTTACAGTTTATAAATATTCTAAATATTTTATTAAGTATGTTATTTTTCTTTGGAGCTTTTATAAATTGTATTATTTATTTATTTTTATTGTGATTTGAGTGAAAATTTACAGAGCAAATTGGCTTTTCATTCAACAATCCATACACATTCCGTTTTGTGACAGTTACTGCAACCCCCACACTGTAACATTCTTCTCACTTCCTCCCTGTGTCTACTCCTTGCCTTCATTCTTTCTTTCCTTTCCCTCTCACCTGCCCAGCTCTACCCCTGGCAAATGTTGTCCTCTTGATCTCATATATTTTGCTGTTCTACTTAGTGAATACCCTCCTGATATTATTGTTCACCTTATAGGCCTGTCTATCATTTGTCTAACAGTTGAGTCATGGAGGTTAAATTCAGATTCTAATTTAAACAGTTTCTAAGGGCCATAGTTTCAGGGGTCCCAACAGACTTCATTAGACCAATAAGCATGGTCTTTTTTTCATGATTTTAAGTTTTGTTCCACATATTCCCACACTGAAAAACCAAGGTGTCTCTGAAGACTAAGGTGTGCCTAACCCAAGACATGGTATTTTCAATTGCCTCGTATGCATTTGAGAGCTGGACAATGAATAAGGAAGACCGAAGAAGAGTTGATGCTTTTGAGTTGTGGTGTTGGTGAAGAATGCTGAAAGTACCATGGACTGCCACAAGAACTAATGAATCTGTCCTGGAAAAAATGCAGCCAGAATGCTCCTTGGAAGGAAGAATTGACAGACTTCTCACCAACTTTGGTCATGTTGTCAGAAGGAACCATTCCCTGGAGAAGGATATCATGCTTGGTAAAGTGGAGGATCAATGAAAAAGGGGAAGGCCTTCAATGAGATGGATTGACAGTGGCTGCAGTGATGGGCTCAGGTATAGCAAGCACTGTGAGGCTGGCACAGGACTGGGTAGTGTTTCATTATGTTGTACATAGGGTCACTGTGAGTCAGAGCCAACTCAATGGCAGCTAACAACACCACCACCAACACATTCAGGACTTCTTATTGTGATTCCCTTCAGAGTGGTCAGCAGTGATATCCAGAAACTATTTAGTTCATCTGGTCTTAATGTTCAGAAGCTGGGCTTTACGTGCTCCATTAGTCCCTTGGACTAATTGTTTCTTGTATCTTTGATTTTCCTCACTTTTGTTTGCTCTGGATGGTTAGAGACCAATAGTTGCACCTTGGATGGCTGCTCACAAGCTTTGAAGACCCCAGTGGCTACTCACCAAAGGAAGATGTAGAACATTGTTTTTGTGGACTATGTTGTGCAAATTGACCTTAGTGTCCCTGAGACTACGGTCCTGAATCTGCATACCCACTGACTCATTCCCTCAGCGTGTTTAGTTATGACCAAGATGTTTTCATAATTTGTTCCCTGTGTGCTTTACTGCATTCATGGTTATATTTGCAGCACATATACATGTTTGATGCCTGTATCAAACCTATATATATCATAAATGGTATTATTTTTAACTTTGATTTCTGTGTGCTCATTGTTAGTATATAGGAATGAAGTTGATTTTTTTTTTTTTTTTTTCTCATATCCTGCAACCTTGTTGAATTCACTTATTAGTTCCAGGAAGTTTTTCTTGGCAGGATAGATTTCTTGTGATTTTCTATGTAGAATATTGGGTCATCTGCAAATACAGGCAGTTTTATTTCTTCTCTTGCAATCTACATATCTATAATTGTTTTTACTACATCAACTTTTATTAATGTGCTAATACTGGACATTTAGATTCTCAGTGGGATGGCTGGGACAAAAAAAAAAAGAACATTTTCATGCCTCTTAATATTTCTTATTAAATTTCTTTCCAAAGTCACATTATCAATTTTTCACTCCTGCCAGCATTTTGTAAGTCATTTTTTCACAAACTATCCAGGTTTGAGAGTTATTTATTTATTTACTTATTAACTTATTTATTTATTTTTTAGACAAAATCAGTTTTTACTGAGAGGAGAATAGGGCATCTCATGATATATCATTTTATTTGATTAATACTGAGGTTCAACATTGCCCACTCTTTTTATTTTAACAGATGCTGTATATTCAGACCCTACCAGGACCTTTTCTTTCAATGGATCCATCTTCATTTGTGGATGTGTATGGGTATATTGCTACTCCTCGAATTTGGAAACAAAAATCATCATTGATCTGGCGTCTTGGCCCTACATACCTCTTTGAAGAAGCCATCTCAGTGAAAACTCTGGAAGTTATTAACAAACTTGGCCCAAGATACTGTGGTAACTTCCAAGCTGTCCATACCCATGGTATGGAGTGTTTTGATTTATAAGGTTCTTGCTGGTAGTATTTTTTAAATGGAAATCCAGTTATTTATAGTATATTTATAAAGAATAAACTCAGTGCAGTCATTAGGAAAGACCTCTGTAATTAGATCATTATATATTTACAACTCAACACACAAAGTCGCAGAAAAGGAAATGACAATATCTTTTAGGTTCCAACTCCAAAGCACCTAATGGAGGAGGGTGGGTGGCTAATACCATCAGCAAAGAAAGAGAGAAGAGAATGAGATAAATAAGTTACATTTCTTTTAATGAAGAAGCTTTTTAACTAAAGTATACTGTTATTTTCAATTATTAAACAGGCAGACAAAACATCTACATTTTCATTATTGATTACTGGCTGCTTAAGCAGAGAACATTGCTCTTTGTACTCTGTCAAGTCAAGGGGGTCAGTTCCCATAGGAGGAGAATGATAAATGAATCAATGTAGGAAGGCTTGGACATGGTGAAGGGTAACTGAGCACTGTTGAGCATTTGCCCTGAACTTCATTTCCTGTGGTAAATGGCACTGACCAGAGTACTGTTCTATAAGAGTTGATGTGACAAGCTTAGGTCTAGAATAAAGTTTCACTGACTCTATTTTCATGCCAAAGACAATAGTGTTCAGTGGTAGAATTCTCACCTTCCATGTGGGATGCCTGGGTTCAGTTCCTGGCTAATGCATCTAGTGCACAGCCATCATCCACTTCTCAGTGGAGCTTTGTGTGTTGTTATTATGCTGGCCAGGTTTCAGCAGAGCCTCCAGACTAAGACAGACTAGGAAGAAAGGCCTGGTGATCTATTTCCAAAACCAGGCAATGAAAACCCTATGAATCACAATGGTCTGATCTACAACCAGTTGTGGGGATAGCACAGGATTACACAGTGTTTTGTTCTGTTGTGTATGGCGTCTCTATGGGGCCAACTTGACAGCCACTAACAACAACAACATTTTTATGCCATGCTTCTCTAGTAGCAGATGTCCCTTTGTTAACTTGAGGGACAGCTTGTGGAAAATCTTAGTTCTTTCAGTCCAGCCTTCTTCCATTTTTATAAGCTGGCTTAAGTCACTTAGCCTGTTGGTTTTAGGAGTAAAGTTATATCCTTGATAAATGCTTCATGCTCTCCTAATCCCACAACTGGAACATCTGTTTTAGAGTGGGGTCTATCTTGTGAGATTTCCCCACAATTTTCTATAAGTGTCAGGTGGGGACAAAATACACTGTAATAGAAATATCCTCTCTCAATTATTAATTTGCTATGTAGCAAATAATGTTTACTCTTCTGAGGATTGATTTCCTTTTCATTAAGATGAGAATACAAATGAGTAAAAATGAAAGATGTGTTGTTTTAGGTGAGTACTCTGATGGTGAAGCTATACCTCTTGTTGTGGAGGAGAAGGTTTCCTTTGGACTTCACATAGCCAGCTCATCCATCACCAGTGTGGCAGACATAAGACACACTTACAACGAGGTAGACAGCCGCCTGATAGCCAAAGAGGTACATCTTCTAACTTCACTTACTTCTTCATTTTTTAATCTTGTTCTTCTGGCTTGCTTCAGCTTTCGGTGCTTAAGCAAACACTAATTCATGTTTGCGTGTATGTAGACAGCTATAGGTAGGCATGCTTCCCAATTCATTTGTTAGAATATCCTTAGATCTCCCCAGCAGTAGTATCTCTCAAGACTAAACCTGTTGTTTATAATCACTCAGAAGACAAAGCAGGTGTTTTTTGATAGAGCAAGAACAAATGGGATATTTTATAAGCCTTTTATAGCCTGAGAACTCTATTGAGCTTCTATTTGTCTGTGTGCTACTGATTCACCAACACTATTCTTCGAGGTGCTTTTTTTTTTTTTTTTTTTTTAGGAACAGCACACTTGCAAAATAAGCAGATGTGTTTGTAGACAAGGATGCTATGAGATTTGCTACTTCCTAATTGTTGTATAGGAGCTCTGGTAGCATAGTGCCTAAGGCACTTGACTGCTAACCAGAAGGCTGGCAGTTCAAACCCACCAGCCACTCCTCGGAAGGAAGGTTGGGCAATCCTACTTCCATAGTGACACTGCCTCGAAAACCCAAGGAGGGGTCGCTATGAGTTAGGGCTGACTCAACGGCAAATAACAACAACAACAACAAATTGTTGTATAGGAGCTCTGGTAGCATAGTGTCTAAGGCACTTGACTGCTAACCAGAAGGCTGGCAGTTCAAACCCACCAGCAACTCCTCAGAAGGAAGGTTGGGCAATCTACTTCTGTAGTGATACTGCCTTGGCAATCCAAGGAGGGGTCACTATGAGTCGAGTCCGACTCAACAACACATAACAACAACAACAATTGTATAAACTAGACTTTTTGGTGAGTGTTGATGAATTTGGGCCAATTTGTTTACATTATCTCCACACTCTGGGACAAAGCACCACCTTCTTTTACTGAGGATGGGGACCAGGGACTAGATCCAGTTAAGTACTACCTTACCAGTGGTGCATTTTCTGGGGAAGCAAGCATACTGCTGTCGAGTCGGACCTGACTCATAGCAACCCCTCCTTTGGTTTCTGGGGTGATATCACTAGGGAAGTAGATTGCACAACCTTCCTTCTGAGGAGTGGCTGGTGGGTTTGAACCACCAGCCTTCTGGTTAGCAGTCAAATTCCTTAGGCACTATGCCACCAGAGCTCCCATTTTCTGGGGAGGAGGCCAGTATTCTCATCTTCCTTCCCTTCTGCATCCAGAGAAGAGTGGTGCTTGGAATGTCTGGATAACACCAGATTGGGAAAGTGGCAGCCTTTGTCTAGTAGCCCTGTCTTAACTCAAGAGTCCCTGGCCCTTCTCACTCTCATTAATGTCTCATTGCAAGCATGTGGTGGATCCAATGCTGCTTCCTTATAATGGAGCCATAGCTTGGGAGGCAGGGCATGTGAACTAAATTTGGCTTCATTCCCTGACATAGGCTTGATTATTTTTCACTGACCATTATTTTGTGAGTGCCAACAGACACTCAAGCGCAAGACCTTTTCCTACCTGGGACAGTTTCTTAGGACTAATTTTTGCTAATTTTTCTAGATGAACATTTCATCTCGTGACAGTGCCACACCTGTGTTCTTGCTAAGAAATTGTGCTGGTCACCTCTTGGGCTCTCTTCGAACCATTGGAGCAGCTGCTGTGGGCCACTTAGGTATGCAAGGCTAAGAAGCTTGACTGTTATTTGGGAAGAAGGGCTTGAGTTGCTGTCAGTTGTGCAGCCTGGGTATTCTGGAGCTACAAGAAGAGAGGAGCATGTTGGGGAGCCAGGATGCTGAGTGCTAAGATTGGGGAGCTAGGGCAGATGAGAGGTGGCCCCACAAGCATGGAGATCAGTATCTAAATTACTTAGCACTGCTGTAACAAAAAATACTACAAGTGGGTGGGTTTAAATGACAGAAATTTGTTTTCTCATAATTCTGGAGGTTAAAAGTCCAAATCAGAGTCTCTGCCATATTGATTCCCTGTGCACTTCTCTCCTAGGTTCTGGTGGCTGACAGCAATCCTTGTTTTTTTTTTTTTTTTTTTTTTCAGAACCTCACATGACATCTGTTTTATCCCTCTGTGTGTATCTGTGTCTAATCTAGTTTTTTTTTTATATAAGACACCACTCAGATGTGATTAGATTTAGGACCCACACTACTCTGATATGATCTCATTGATATAACAAAAGACCCTTCACAAACAGGACATATTTAGAGATTGAGGTTAGCATCACACATTTCATAGCATCATTCCACATTTCTTTTTGAGAGCACACAATTCAATCCATAACAATCAGTTTACATTGGACACATTGGCAGTGAACTAAGCTACTGACTCCACTGGAATCTATGTCCAATGGGAGCCCATCAAGTGAGTAGAGTGGGCATTTATCCTTGAGCAGAGAGAAAACAGCAGCCAGAGACTGCTGGTCACTGTGCAATCTGGAGAGAGTAGTGTCCAGCCCAGTGATATCTAGAGAGCAAGAACGACCCAGAAGGTATCAGAACAATGAGAAAATAGAGGCTCAGAGGAATTCTGGCTCATTGAACATTTCAGAAAAAAGGCAGAGCATGTCAAGTCCATTCCTGGGTCCCACTTGCTAGTGGGGATAGGACTGTGACTATACAGCCAGGCCTTCTGCTTACTACCTGGGGCCTCTGTGAGGCAGAGCCAACAGCTTTAAGGTCTTTTATATGACTACTGTTAACCTTGTCAACAGTGGTTGGTGCCTCAGTGAACCTGTAGCATTTTTGGAAGCCAATCTGAAATGTTCTGGGCTGTCTCAGCCTCCTGATGAACCATAGAGAACTTTGTGCAGTATTTTTCAGTAACCTAAGACTTTCAAAAGCCACCCTTCTCTCACACCTAGCCTGTACCATGTGTGATGACAGTGGCACTGGCTGGTCATCCACTTTATATGCTACTGGGAGATTTTCCAAGACAGTAAATCTGGGCCTTCCTGATGATATGCCCCTTCATCCCAACAGGGGTGAGGGTGTTCCACTCCAGCCCTGCGGCCAGCAGCCTGGACTTCATTGGAGGACCTGCCATCCTCTTGGGCCTAATGTCCTTAGCAACAGATGACCATACCATGTATGCAGCTGTGAAAGTCTTGCACTCCGTCCTGACCAGCAATGCCATGTGTGACCGCCTGATGAACCACATCTCTGGGTACCAGGTAATCTGACCCTCCCACTTGAGCCTGGGATGTTCCAAAGGGTTGTCACCCTGAGGAGCAAGAAAGCGCTTCCCATGCCCCAGTGCACAGTCCCTCCAGTGGGACTTCTTGGAAAATACAATCAAAAGCTCTGGGTCCTGAGGTTAGCATCACACAGAGCAGGGCTAGGTGATCACCAACGAGAGAGGAGGGTAGTGCAGGGTGGGGATACTCACCAACTGTGGCTACTAGCATCTTTTGCTGAATCCAAGAATCACTTATGGTTCTCCTCATTGAATCTAGCTTGATGGATAAGGGCTCAGGCCATGGACCTAGATTACATGGGCTTGAATCCGTCCCCTCCTTTAACTTGCTGTGTAACTTTGAGTAAGATACTGTGTCTTAGCTTTCTCAACTTTATGACATAGTTCCCATGTAGTGAGGATTAGTTGATAGTGCCTGAACCAGAATAAGTGCTCAATAAACATGAGCCATTGCTAGTTCTTAAAATCTTTAGGCCTCAGTTCTATAATTAGTAATATGGGAATAATAACAGCACCTAGGTATCATATGATCAAGAACTGATGGCATTGAAAGAGGAAGTCCAAGCTGCACTGAATGAATTGGCCAAAAAAACGAGGCTCTAGGAATTGATGGAATTCCCATTGAGATGTTTCAATAAACAGATGTAGCACCGGAGATGCTCACTCATTAATGCCAAGAAACTTGGAAGACAGCTACCTGGCCAACTGACTGGAAGAGATCCATATTTGTGCCCATTCCAAATAAAGATGATCCAACAGAATGCAGAAATTATCAAACAATATCAATAACATTGCATGCAAGTAAAATTTTGCTGAAGATAATTCAAAAATGGTCACAGCACTGGCAGGAATTCAAGCCAGATTCAGAAGAGGGCATTGAAAGAAGGATATCATCGCTGATGTCAGATGGATCTTGGCAGAAAGAAAATAATACCAGAAAAATGTTTATATGTGTTTCATTTGCTATGCAAAGACATTTGACTGTGTGGATCATAACAAATTATGGATATCATTGCAAAGAATGATAATTCCAGAATACTTAATTGTGCTCACAAGGAACTTGTACATAGACCAAGAGGCAGTCTTTCAAACAGAGCAAGGGAATACTGCATGGTTTAAAATCAGGAAGAATGTGTGTCAGGGTTGAATTTTTTCACCAACCTTATTCAATCTGCATGCTGAGCAAATAGCGAAGCTGGACTATAGGAAGAAGAATACAGCATCAGGATTGGAGGAAGACTCATTACCAAGTTGTAATATGCAAATGACATAACCTTGCTTCCTGAAAGTGAAGAGGACTTGAAGCACTTACTGATGAAGATAAAAAATTACAGTGTTCAGTGTGGATTACACTCAACATAAAGAAAACAAAAATGCTCAAAATTGAACAAATAAGCAACATCATGATAAATGGAGAAAAGATTGAAGTTGTCAAGGATTTCATTTTACTTGGATCTACAATCAACACCCATGAAAGTAGTCCAGAAATCAAATGTCATATTGCACTGCACAAATCTGCTGCAAAAGATTTCTTTAAAGTGGTAAGGAGTAAAGATGTCAGTTCAAAGACTAAGGTACATCTGACCCAAGCCATGGCATTTTCTATGGCCTCATGCACATGAGCTGGACAATGAATAAGGAAGACCAAAGAAGAGTTGATGCTTTTGAGTTGTGGTGTGAGTGAAGAATATTGAAAGTACCATGAACTGCCAGAAGAATGAACAAATCTGTCCTGGAAGAAGTGCAACAGGAATGTTTCTTGGACTCGAGAATTGCCAGACTTCATCTCTCATACTTTGGCCATGTTTTCAGAAGATACCAATTCCTGGAGAAGGAAATCATGCTGGGTAAAGTAGATGGTTAGCAAAAAAGGGAAGGCCCTCAATAAGATGGATTGACATAGTAACTACTGATGATGGGCTCAAACATGGCAATGATTGTGAGGATGGTGCAGAAGTGAGCAGTGTTTCATTCTGTTGTATGTAGTGTTGCTATGAGTTGAAACTGACTTGACAACACATAACAACAATTCATAGGGGTTCTATGATGACCGAGTATGTGTGTAGAAGAGAGGCTACCCACAGTCCCTGCAATAAGTGTGTTTATTGTGATTGTTATTGTTACTCACTGTATTAGAATGGGTTCTCTAGAGAAGCAAAACCAGTAAAGATTATATAGAGATAAAGAAATAGAAATATATCTTAGGAAAATGGCCCACACACTTATAGAAGCTGGCAATTCCCACGTTCTTGGATCAAACATCAAGTTGGAGGCTTTTCCCAACTGACACAGCTGCAGGGACTAAAGAGCTCAAGGTTAGCAGGTGGTATACCAACTGTTGACTCCAGCAAATGATGAATCCAAGATCTCCAGGCTGAATGGTGGATTGTTCATTTATGGACAGTTGTAAGCAGCACAACAGAATTCCAATCCACAGAAGAATGTCTCTTTTCCCAGGATGTCCATAAATATACTGGAAGCAGTCCACACCCCTAGGGAAACTCCCTTTCAATGGATTGGCTGCTCAAAACATATACATCTGATCCCATCATTGGAACAACCCACATCACAATTGCTTAAACCACACAGAATTGTGGTCCAGTCATGTTGACACACAGCTCCAACTATCACAGTCCACCCCTTGTCAACTTGGCAGTTGTGCACATCTTCTTAACCATATATAGTCTCTAAGGACAATTACAAAATCATATTTGCTCCAAACAAGATATGCTAACACGCGTACAACCGAAACGCATTAACCTTATTTACATTTCACAGTTCATAACAGAAGGAAACAAAAATATTTGATGCACATATACAGTAAAGAAATATCACAATCACAATCCTCATTTCTGCAACTGGTCACTGGTCATAGCTGATATTCAGAATTACTTTCTTCCACCACTCATTCTGTATTTCCCTTGCCCTCAGCAAGCACCTCAGCTGGTCATGATTCTTTGTCTGATGGGTGACCCAAACCTTCTTTCCTGAAGGGTCTGGACCATTAGTGGTTGTATCAGAATTGGGTTGCTGTAATTTTCCATTGACTTTAATCACAGGGCATGGTAGTACTAAGAGATGTCCTAAAGAATCTCCTGTATTCCAGACATATTCTTCTTTACCTCCATTATGTAATTTTAATCCAATTTCCCCTTGGTAATCAGGATCTATCACACCAGATAGAACAGTAATGACCTTCTTTGTTGATCCAGAGGCATGAGGAAGCCAAAATAGCTGGGTGGCATTCTTACTTTCCAGTTCAATGCAATCAGTATTGTGTCACCAGGTGGGAATGTTCCTCCATTGGGACTAGGATTTCCAGACCCGCAGAGCATAGGGTATCATGGAAGGAAGCAAAAATTTTTTGAGTGGGTCACTAGGGGTAATAGTGAGTGATACCACTCCCGTTTCCACCCCTTGGTTCCTGGACCTGTGAATCCTGGCTATTGGAGAAACAGAACCGTATATTGGATGCTGGTTTAGAGCATATACAGCTTCCTGCAGAACATTGCCCCAACCCTTCAAGGTATTGCCACCTAGCTGGTGTTGTAATTGTGTTTTCAGTAGGCCATTTCATCATTCTATAAAGCGAGCTGCTTCAGGATGATGGGGAACATGGGAAGACCAGTGAATTCCATGAGCATAGGCCCATTGCCACACTTCATTTGCTGTGAAGTGAGTCCCTTGATTTGAAACAATGCTGTGTAGGATATGATGAGGGTAGATAAGGCATTCTGTAAGTCCACAGATGGTAGTTTTGGCAGCAGCATTGTGTGCAGGGAAGGCAAATCCATATCCAGAATAAGTATCTATTCCAGTAAGAACAAAATGCTGTGCTTTCCATGATGGAAGTGGTCCAATGTAATCAACCTGCCATCAGGTTGTTGGCTGATCACCCTAAGGAATGGTTCCATATCGCAGACTTGGTGTTGGTCTCTGCTGCTGGCAGATTGGGCACTCAGCAGTGTCAGTAGCCAAATCAGCCTTGGTAAGTGAGAGTCCATGTTGCCGAGTCCATGCATAGCCTCCATCCCTGCCACCATGGCCACTTTGTTCATGAGCCCACTGAGCAATGACAGGAGTATCTGGGGAAAAAGGATGGCTGGTTTCCACTGAACATGTCATCCTATCCATCTGATTGTTAAAGTCCTCCTCTGCCAAGGTCACCTTGTGGTGAGCATTCACATGGGACACAAATATCTTTACTCCTTTTGCTCATTAGGAGAGATCTATCCACATACCTCTTCTCCATACATGCTTGTCACCAATTTCCCAATCATGCTCCTTCCAAGTCCCAGACCATCTGGCCAAGCCATTAGTTACAGCCCATGAATCCATATACAATCACATATCTGTCCATTTCTTATTCCATGCAAAGTGAACAGCCATATGCACAGCTCAAAGTTCTGCCCAATGGGAGGATTTCCCTTCACCACTGTCCTTTAAGGAAGTCCCAGAAAGGGGCTTCAGTGCCACTGCTATCCACTTTTGAGTGGTGCCTGCATATTATGAAGAACCATCTCTAAACCAGGCAGGAGATTTTTCTTCCTCAGTCAACTGTAGCTCCCCATGAGGTCATAGGTGCAGATTGGGAGAGGGAAGGTAATGTGACTGGAGTGGAGACCATAGGCATTTGGGCCACTTCCTCATGCAATTTACTTTTGCCTTCAGGTTCTGCTCAAGCTTGATCTCTGATATACCCTTTCCATTTAATGATGGAGTGCCTCTGTGCACATCCAACTTTATGACTCTGTGGGTCAGACAACATCCAGTTCATGATAGGACGCTCAGGCCTTATGGTGACTTGGTGGCCCATGGTTAGATGTTCAGTCTCTACTAAAGCCCAGTAACAAGCCAAAAGCTGTTTCTCAAAAGGAGATTAGTTATCTGCACAGAATGGTAGGGCTTTGCTCCAAAACTCCAGGGGTCTGTGTTGTGATTCACCAATAGGGACCTGCCAAAGACTCCAAACAGCAT